CGATCCCCGGGGTGCTGTGCCAGTCCCACCCCCAGGGTGCACTGAGACAGAGACTGAGACTGGGCGTGGTGGCGCGCACCTGTAATCCCAGCACTTGGGAGGCTGAAAACAGGAGAATCACCATGAGTTCGATCTGTGTAGTGAGACCCTGTAGACCATGTATTAAATACATTTTAAAAAGGAAAGAAAGAGGGTCGCTGCTTACTGCTTGCTGCCTTCTGCCTGCCCTGCTTTGCCATGGACTATTTCTCTACTGTGATGCCACTCTGCCACACTTCCCTGCCCTTCAGCCCAGCAGTTAAGGACTGAAACCACTACAAACTGGGAACTAAATAAACCTCTCCTTTAACTCTGAGCATTGGGTACTTTGTCTCAGCAACAACAACCAAAAAAGTGGGTCTGCCAAATAGCTCAGCAGATTAAAGCACCTGCTTAGGCAGATGCAGCAGCCGGGATTCCATGCTGTGCCAGCCCCGCCCCGAGGCACACTGAGACAGCCAATTGAGACTGGGCGTGGTGGCCCGTGCCTATAATCCCAGTGCTTGGGAGGCTGAACACAGGTGGATCACTATAAGTCTGACCTATGTAGTAAGACCTTGTAGACCCTGCAGACCCTGTCCTAAAAATACAAGTCTCAGTAGCCATCTCAGCACACCCCAGGGGCAGGGCCAGCATGGCAGGCTGGGGATCGAACCCATGGTCAGTACGGACTTGTGGGAAAAGTTTGGAAAGATTTGAAGAAGTAGGCTGAAAAACAGCCCTGGAAGGTCTTAAGCTGTACTTGATGGGAGATTCTGATCACAGCTCAAAAGACTGGAATGCTAATGATAAAAATGCTGTCAGTAAAGGCCAGGCTCGGGAAGTTTCTGCTGGGAAGGACTGCGTTGGCTCTTGGGCCTGGATGATATGGGTTATGCTTTGGCAGAAAGTTTGTCTGCACTTTTCTCACTTCCAGAGACTGCATGAGACTGTGATGAGAGTGGTGGACTAAATAATCTTACGGAAGAAATTTCAAGCAGACTGATATTAAAGCAGTGATATGGCTACTGTTGGGAGCTTTTAACCAGATCTATGTTGAGAATCAAAAGCAAAGAGCACAGGGGCTGGTGAGATGGCTCAGTGGTCTAAAGCACCTACTTAGAACAAGCTTAGCAAAGCACAGGGACCGCGGTTCAATCCCCCAGCACCACATGCCAGTCAGCCCGCCCCCTGGTGGGCTGAGCTGGCCACACACACACACACACACACACACATAAATAAATAATTTTTTTAAAAAAGCAAAGAGCCCAGTAGAATGATTTAAGACACAGCAAGATTAGCCAGAAAAGGAAACTCCTACATGCCTGTGGACTGCAAAGATAGAAGACAAGAGAAGAGATGACCTGAGGACATAACAAGAACTACAAGGGAGGGCCGGCCGGATAGCTCAGTGGACTAAAGCACCTGACGCAGGGGCCAGGGGTTCGATCCCCAGCCTGCCACGCTGGCCCTGCCCTGGAGGAGGGAGAGCACTGAGACTGGGTGTGGTGACATGCGCCTGTAATCCCAGTGCTTGGGAGGCTGAGAGCAGGAGGATCACTATAAGTCCGATCTACATAGTGAGACCCTGTAGACCCTGTACTAGTAAGATACATAAAAAAAGAACCACCAGGACTCCACCCTTTGCAGCCTCAAACTTGCAAAAGTGGAAGACTTCATTTCCAGAAGAGAGCCCCAGCGCATGTTGCAAGAATGGCAGCACCCTGGGAAAGTTGTTTCTCCAGCTGTGATTCCCAGATACCCGCCCCTGCAGCCAAGAAAGAAGGAAGCCCGACTGCTGCTCCAGCTGGCAGCGGACCTCTACACCACCCACGTAGGGCTGCTTTTAGGTGCACACAAGTCCCAGGTAAGCAAGGGCTCACAGATAGTCCGCTGACTTCTCAGCAGAAGCTCTGCAGCCCAGGAGAACACAGCATGAGGGATTCCCAGAGGTGAGAGGGAAGCCTGGCAGCCAGCAGTGCTACAGCCAGCAAAGCTGTCCTTTGGAAGTGAGAGAGAAATCAAGTCTTTCTCAGACCAGCAAAATCATGACTGCTATACCTTCCTTACCAGAAATGCTTCAGGGACTTATTCTAAGTAAAAGGACACTAATTACTACCATGAAATTCTAGGAGTGGCTCAAGCTGGACATTGATCCCACGTGGGAGGGCAGGAGGAGGCCTCACTGCCTAAAGCAGTCGAGCTACCTCAGTCCTGAGAAAAGCATCCCGCCTAGACATTGAGGGCTGTTAGTCGCCAGGCAGCCTTGTATCTTGTAACTTTGCAAAGGTATAAATAAACGCCCTGCTGTTCTTCTGACTTCAGCTATTATCTCTTGTCTTCATTCTCTGAATCCTCTCACCATTTTCTCCTGGGGACCACTGAGAGACCAGCAAATCCCTACAATGAAAATATATGAAAGTAGGCCGGGGAGATAGCTCAGCGCACTAAGCGCTGCTTAGGCAAG